AATGAGGGGAGATTTTTGTGTGATTTTTATAATTAAAGCAAAGCAAAAAGCAAAACAAAAAAATTAAGTGAGAAAATGTGCAACAGCTGGTCAGGTGAGGTCAAGTGAGAGCCAGGCTGAGCTGCAGCCAGTTCCAGGCCTCTTTTGGTTTGGCACTTGTCTAGATTTGGCACCACTGCCCCCTCCCCAGTGAGGGGTCCCATTGGCCAAGGGGTGACCAGCAGGAGACCAGAGGCTGCGTGTCTGTTTTCCTGCGTCCCGTCCGCTCTGCTGGGTGTGGGTCACAGTGGCTGCCTTCCTCTCCTGAGGGCCACAGGCTGTTGGTGACTCTCCCTCAGCTACAGCTCTCCTGATCCTGGTACGTGACTCTGCTCCATCTCTTCAGCCCTGGGGGCCACACTACGAATCCCGGGATGCCTCCTCATTCCTTGTTGCTTCCTTCTGCTGCCCACATTTTCGCCTTCATTCAGCGCTTCTCACTCATCCCCTTGAGTGTGTTGCCATCTCTTTCCCACCCAGACCCCGCCTGGCACAATTACTTCCACAGTTCTCTCTAGAATGTGCTTGCCGCATTATGACCCCGCGGGGGCCGGTTGGCTGTGTTTGTGTAGTGATGGACCTGAGCCTGGTCCCTGTGCACTTAGCGTTCTCCCCTGAGTGCCAGACAGGTGGGCTTCTCTGTGGCCCCAGTATGCAGTCCTCACTCACTGGCGCAGACACCGTGTCTGCTAGGGGAGGTACTCGTGTCGTCCTACATCCGAGGCTGCCAGGTGGGAATTACCACCTCCCACTTTGTACAGAGACAGCTGAGGTCCAGAGAGTTCACGTAGTTTCCCCAAGGTCACAGAGCAACTCTGGGGAAAAGAATAGGGTTCAGGTTCAGATCTTAATCAAAGCTGCTGTTCTCTTCAGTGGGACAGGCTGCGTCGGGCTATATGAGTGTAAACATTTTAGCACAAGTAGACAAATTTGCTGTTATTGGGTCAATGGTAAATGAACGTTGTTTGGTGGCAGCAGTTTGGCAGAGGGAGAACAATGTGGAAAGGCTTGGAACCAAAAAGTGTCTTTGCTGGACAGTGTATTCCCCTGGGCTACACGGTGACTGTGATGTCTGCAGATCATTCTGGCAGTGTGGTGGGTCACCCGGCCTTATCTGGACATGTCCTCAGGAAGTTCAACTGGCTCCATTTCCTGAAATGATCTATTTTTTGAGATGAACCTGTCTGCACCCTGGCTGGCACCCTGACCTCAGGCACTCAGAGGGCCTGGTTCCTTTTTATATTTTGACTCCAATATGCTCAGCATCCAAGAACGTGAGTTGCTCTGTTTCTCATCTCAAATCTTAGTGCCTGACAATTATGACTGAGTGACGTGAGACCTTCAGGCTGCAAAATACTGAATTTACTTCTCAAGGGATCCTTTTCTCCTTTCTTTTCTTTCTCTAACCCCCTGATGTCCAATCTCTGCAATGCTGGTATGGCGCTATGCCTGTTATATCAAACTCATCGATTAAACTATTCAAATATCCTTCATTCTTATCAATATTTTGTTCTTTTGTCAAACACCCTTAGGATTTTAAAAAAGGAAATGGCAGAGTTGCCCAGACTCAGCTGTCAAAATGTTTGCGAAAAAAAAGGTCTCGATACCGGCTAATGATTTAAAAGCTAAAGTGATTCCCCCTCTGAAAGGTGACACTTTGGTTGTTAACAATGATTTTATAGTTTTAAAATTGTATGCTTCTGCAGCTGTGATTATTAATCATTTCTCCTAATCATGTTATGAGGGAAGGCAGCCTTAAATTATAATGGCCATGATGGGCTATTTTCATTTGGTAAATATTTATTTATCGCTTATTACACAGAAGGCACCTTCTAGATCAGCATCATCCAATAGAATACAATGTGAGGCACAAACGCAAACCACATACATAATTTGAAAATTTCTAGTAGCCACATTAAAGAAGTAAAAAGAAACTGGTGAAATGAATTTTAACAATACATTTTATTAACCCAATATATACAAACTCATTTGAACATATGATTTTTACATTTTTGATATTTTACATTCTTTTTTTGGTATTAAGTCTTTGCCTGAATTAAAAAGTCTTTATTTCTCCTTCACTTTTGAAGGATAATTTTGCAGGGTACAGAAATCTAGGTTGGTTGGTTTTTTTCTCTCAACACTTTAAATATTTCACTCTATTCTCCTCTTGCCTGCACACTTTCTGAGGAGAAGTCCAGTGTAATTCTTATCTGTACTCCTCCATGGGGAAGGTTTCTGGCTTCTTTTGGGACTTTTTTCTTTATCTTTGACTTTCCCCCACTTTTTAAATATGGTATGTCATGGTGTTGGGTTTTTATTTGTTTATTTTGGCATTTTTCCTGCTTGGTGTTCTTTGAGCTTCCTGAATTTGTGGTTTGGTGTCTGACATTAATTTGGGGGAAATTCTCAGTCATACTTGCTTCAAATATTTCTCTGTTCTTTTCCCTCTTTATTCTTCTTCTGGTATTCCAACTATGTGTATGTTACACCTTTTGTATAGTTGTCCCACAGTTCTTGGATATTCTGTTCTGTTTTTCAAGTTTTGGAAGTTTCTGTAGTTCTTGGATATTCTGTTCTGTTTTTCAAGCTTTGGAAGTTTCTGCTTCCTTTCTCTTTTTCCTTTTTTTTTTTTTTTTTTAAGATACAGGGTCTCGCTATGTTGCCCAGGATGGCCTCAAACTCCTGGGCTCAAGCAATCCTCCTGCCTGAGCCTCCCAAGAAACCAGGACTCCAGGCTCAGGCTACCATGCCCAGCTCAGTTTTGGCAGTTTCTATGCAGATATCCTGAAGCTCAGAGATTTTTTCCTCGGACATGTCCAGTCTCCTAATAAGCCCAGCAAAGGCATCCTTCATTTCTATTACAGTGTTTTTGATCCCTAGCATTTCATTTCTTTTTTTTTTTTTCCTGGACACTATTGATTGGAAATATTTTATTATTTTTTTCTTTTTTTTTTAGAGATAGGGTTTTGGTGTGTTACCAAGGCTGGATTTTAACTCCTGGGCTCAAGTGATCCTCCCACCTCAGCCTCCCGAGTAGCTGGCACTACAGGCAGGCATGTGCCACCATGCGTGGCTCTAGTATTTATTTTTCTTTCTTAGAATTTCCATCTCTCTGCTTACATTGCCCATCTGTTCTTGCATTCTGTCCACTTTATCCACTAGAACCCTTAGCATATTAATCACAATTGTTTTAAAATCCTGGTCTGATAATTCCAACAACTTTGCCCTATCTGAGTCTGTTTCTGATGCTCGCTCTGCCTCTTCCACCTGTGTTTTTTGCCTTTTAGTATGTCTTGTAATTTATGTTTCGCTAGCCAGACATCACGTACCAGGTAAAAGGAATGACTGTAAATGGGGTTTTAGTCACGTGGTGGTGAGGTGTGGGGAGAAGGGAGGCATTCTACAGTGCCTGTGCCTCTGGACGTGAACTTCACAAGAGCTTCTCGGCTGGGGTTGAGTATTTCCCTTCTTCCAGTTAGATCTGGCGCTGACAAAACCCCAGCAGGTTAGGCTCTGGTTAAATAGTTTCCTCTGAGGGCAGACCTTGTTAAAAAGAACAGAATGCTCTGACACATACCAAAATAGCTGCTTTTCCCCTCTGCTGCCAGAAGCATGAGGGATTTTTCTCTGATACTTACTGTAAGAATCTGGTTGAGCTCCTGGAGATAAAACTCACAAAAGTATGGGGACACCCCAATGACTGGGTCCCCCTGGCGTTTTTCACTCTCAGATTTGTCTACGCCGAGCCTCTGGCAATTCATTAATTACGGTTTAGGTTTCCTTACCCAGCCCTGGTTCCCACAGAGGATTCTGCTCATGAGCCTCTGCTCTGGTGAGGGGCGATGCTCTCTTCACCTGTCTGTCTCTCCAGTTTTAGGGGCTGTGGTTTGCCCTGTGACCTCACTTCTCTTATGGATTTAAGAAGAGTTGTTGATTTTGCAATTTGTTCAGCTTTTTACTCATTGTTAGGATGGAGTAACAACATCCAATCTCTTTACGTGCCGAACTGGAAAGCATACTAAGTCTTGGAAACTCAGTGTGTATTTAATATAGAATTACATGATATTTTGCATACTTTTTGTTTGGTACTGCATCTTTGAAATTCATGGTGTATTTAACACTTACAGCACATGTTGATTAGAACAAGCCTCCCGCTCATTAGCCGCATGAGGCTTCTGGCCTCCCTCTTGGACTGTACCTCTCTAAATGGAAGATCGTTTGCCTGAGAATTGGGTGATTAACTGTTATCTCAGGCATAAATCACCTTACTGCCTGGGTTAACTAACTTTTTCACAGTATTATAAATACAATCCAAATGCTTCAGGAGAGGTAATTCATGAGGTGTTAAAAAGCACACAGGAGGCATTTACTACGTGTTTATTAACCTTAGGTGAAGCAGTTCCTTTTTATCCCAGAGTTACTTGATGTTTAAATTGGGGACAATTACCTCCCAGACCCTGAGTTTTTTTTTTTTTTCCTCTTATGGTTATTAAACTTAAATTAAAAATTACCTATGGAGTACAAGGTACACTACGTGAGTAATGAGTATACCAAAGCCCAGACTCCACTACTATACAATATATACATGTAACGGAATTCAACTTGTACCCCCTAAATCTATTAAAATAAAATAAACTTAAATTATATCAACAAATTTGGGTGTGGAGCTTGCAAGACTTTTTTGCTATGTCTGTGTGTCCAGCTGGCCACTGCAACTTCCTACTTTTGTCCCCGACAGCAGGAGGACCTCAGCCCAGGACAACCAAGACTTTTCAACTCTCTGGTGTTCCAATTTAGGGATAGACCTTCTCAAAGAAATGAGCTAAATGGACATTCTCAGACTCACACCACACACGGGCCTTCTACGTTCATTAGATCAGGGAAGGCGAGTGTCTCCCTGCCCGTGCGTCTAACCTACGTTAGCCTGTGGAGGCGGCGTGAGCACAGGTGTTTCTTACCCAGGACTGCTGATGCTTCTGGTAGAACTCAGTCACGTTAAAGTCATCCAGGTCGACCAGCAGGCCTTGCTTACACATCTCACAGGTCTTCACGGCGCCAAGATCTGCTCCTTAAATTAGATAAAGGATTATATGGTACCTATAACCATGGGTTTGTTTGTGTTGGCACTTTGGACAGGTGATATTTTGAGAGTAAATTTGTGTGTGTTATGAATTCTGAGCTTCAGTGACCTTCACTTAAAGCTAGTCATCTTCTGTGGAAAATGACCTTGAATCTGAGAACTACAAAATTTCCTTTGTAATCATTTATTATGTAAGCTTCATAGAAGTGAAATTCCCATGACTTTTAAATAACAGATCTTGCTTTCTATTTAAATATAAACATGATGGTTCCTAAAACTGAAATTGCTACATGGAGACTAAAAGTCTGTAACACAGGCATTTGTAAAAAGAGTGAATATTCGGCCTATTTTTTTTTCTTGTAGACCTAACACAGGTCCAAGTAAATAAATTAGTGAGGACCAAATAGATGGTAGAAGCCAATTCTCAATAAATGGCTTAAAAAACCTTACTCCCACCCAGGTGACATTCCGACCTGGACAAGTGAGAGAGCAAGGGGCCACGTGTGGCACTGGTTACAGTAGCATCTAGGGCCAGCACCTAAGCCGGAGCTCAGCCTTACTTGGGAAAAGAAATATGAGGCGGCTTCCTTTGTTGCTATTTTTACAAAAACATGCAGGCTAGATCAGCATTTTTCCTCCACTTATCCTACTCCCCAATGCAGAAGTGGAAGACGCAGAATTGTGGCTGCTCTACGCAAGCATTCTGCCACACACTTCCCCCCTTAGTTGCTGCATTTTGGAAATTATTGTACTAGTGTTTATTTCATGCATTAGAAAACAGAGGACTTATTAGTTACCTCATCTATTTGGTAAAGATAGGGCTTGTGCAGTTTTATAGCCCAGTTCTACTTCACCACTGGGGATATGAAATAGTAAATAATAGAGACTTTCAAAGGGCAGGATAAACAGTAATCCTAATCCCTTATCTGCATTTTGTTTGCTTGTTTTTTTTTTTGGCATCATTCAGTGGCTTTAGGCTACTGAGGAGTAGCTACTGAATGTCCCTCGCATCTTCCAGTCTAATCCCGGTGAACATACCTATGTTAACATGGGCATTTATGAGCATTTAGCAGCATTTTCATGTCATGTTTTATGGGTACGTTTTTCTGTGCGAGACGTTCAATTGGCTCAAATTTCGAGTAGGATAAAGCATTGTATGGCTCTCGTTTCTTTGCTCTCTGAAGGACTGAATACTTGCCTTGTTACGTGGACGTGCATTTAAGCATCTTGATCAGTGGCCTTCTATTTCTCATGCTAGGGAAGGCGCATACATGGAAAAGGGGTTCAGGGACGAGAGAGTTAATATGATTATCCCCTGTGTTCATTTTCTGATTAAGTGGTGTCCTTGGTGAGGGGGCACGGTAACATCCCATGGGGACTGGGTCAAGCTCTAGGTGTCCCAGGTGTCCTGGAATGGTGATAACTAGGGCTTAGGACATGGCAGAGGAGAGAAACAGAATCTGGCATGGGGTGAAATGTTTTCAGAGAGGTGCGTCTGAAAGGCGCAGCAGTGATTTTCTGATCAAGTCGCTCTTTGCATTGCTGTTCCATGTTTTTTGTTAAAGTTGCTGTCAGTCCTAAAGCCATGTTTGAGAGAAACCTTCTGTTCTCTGCCAAGAAAACTATAGCTGCCCTACTGATATGGCTGTATTTAGGTTAAAATCTCCCCAGGGAGTTGAGAGGGGGCTGCACACCCAGTTACAGGATCTGTTAGGGAGCTGTCAAAATCAGCACATGGAAATCTCTTTTCTAATATGGTTCTAGAAAATCGGATCAACGTTCTTTTTCTTACCTCTGTTGCAAAAAGGGCAGCCTTGTTTGCTTTCTGCAGCAACAACCATTCCCGTCCCCCAAATAAAAGGGAGTGGAGTTGTGTGTGCTCGGGGGTCTGTCATGCTGGCCCTCCTCAGTTATTTTTGCGGGGTGTGTACAAGCTGGGCCTGGCTCCTGTGCACTCACTGAGCTTCCATCACCGATCCATTTGTTCTGGTTCCTTCCTCCTGGGAGGCAATCTTAGCATCTCTGCTCCGGCCTCAAGCAGGAGTAGGATTCAATGGCATGTGTTGCCAGGATTCTTCTCTCAGACTTAAAAAAAATCTGTTTCCCTCCCATCATTTGAAGACAGCATTTATGAGCAAGAATCCTGAGCTCGGCCACGTGTCCCTGAGCTGCCGTTGTGCGGAGGAGAGTGAGCTGATGACGAGGCTGGAGGCCCACACTGTGGTGTCTCATATTAATTATATGCCGTGGCACGTTTGTCGCGCTTCCTTTCCCGCCTACCTGATGTTATTTTCACTTCCAGCCACTTTTTCAGGCACTCTTGATGAACAAACTGCAGGCTTCCCACACAGCCGCAGGGCTCCAGGAGGGGATTGCTTGGGGAACCCCTGGCTATCTGACAGATGCGACACAAGTCTCCTTCCTCCTCGGAGTCCTCCTCCAGGAGTCTAAATGGAAAACAAGTCCTTGTGACTGGGAGTGCACACGCTCACAGTTTTCACAAATATTAGTTCCCAGGGCATTGGCGGGAAAAGGAAGCGGGAGTGATGCTGGGGCTCCCCCGCTCCCCGCTCAGAGCCCATGGAGAATCCCTCCGGATACGGTTCCTGGTGACGGATGAGTGAATTCTTGTTTTATATGAGGCTCTTTTGCAGTTGTGGATGTGTGTGAGCTGACTTGGGGGACCGGCACTGCCACCACAAATCAAGAGGTGGAGGAAAAGGCTCCAAAGAGAACAGCGGTAGAGGCCGAGCTCCCCTCCCTGCCGCAGCCAGCGTGCGTTGGCCGTGTGGTCTGCTGGTGGTCTGCTGGCTGTGCAGTATGTGAGTGGGTGCAGGAAATTCATGGTCAGGGGTCTGAGTTTGAGGCCTGCCTCTGAAACTTGAGAGCCATGTGACCTTGGACAAGTTCCTTAATCTTCCCTGGACTCTGTTTGCTCATCTGTAAAATGAGGGTCATGGTGATAACACCGCTGCCACCTACTTGACGGGGTTGTGGGCAGGCTGGATGTGCGATGATGGGGACCCTGCTCTGCAAACTGTAAAGTGCACCAGTCTGGCAAAGTATTTGCACAGAGTCTGCTCGGTGGACGTTGGCTTGGATGAATGATGAATCAACAAACCTGGACGCAAGCTCACTAATAACGTAACACTTGCCAGCAAATGATGTCAACGTTCCAGCACGTGAGCTGCTGGAATCTGATGGCAACAAGAATCAATGAAAATGTAAGCAAAGAGGTGTGTGTCTAATAAACGGTGAGTGAGGAGTAGCTGGTTAATGTTCGTCTTGGGAGGTATTAAGAACCCTAAGGCTACTTTTTTCTTTAGAATTTTTTTCCGTGGGACCAAAGGCTGTCTGGTTAAGGAAAGGAAACTGGCTGGAGACTAAAATCGAAGGAGAAGAAGAAATGAACATTGCTCTGGATGTAGAAACATTTGCTCAGTCTCTTGGGAGATCTTTTTCCCCAAGAAAGGGAAGCTGAATGAAAAGGAGCAGAATTATAATTTTCCATTATGGATATTCTGAATAATTTAAAAAATATTTTCAATATTGAGATCTCAATACATTTCAATAGATTTTCCATATTTTCATAAGGAATCTGGAAGAACAAGTATACAGGGGAGTAAATGCCCCAAGTGATGAAGATAAACTATGGGGAGATCTTGCAAAGTTTGAGAAGATAAGCAGAAAAGTGGCAGAAGAATTTTAATTCAGGCAAGCGCAAGGCAAGGTAATGCTTTTGGAAACAAGTGATCTAAATCAGTGGTTTCCAAATGAAAATAAATGGTCATCAGGAACTTTCTAAACAGATGCCTGGGCTCCATCCTTAGAACTTCCGGTTCAGTACCTGGGGCCCGGGAATCTGAATGTTATGATGGTCACACAGGTCTGAAGACCACTGATCTAAACAGTAGGATCACGGACTCCACGGTGAACTTTTTATGGTTAATAAATACTCGATTCCTAACATAAGGTTCTCCATCTTCTCAAAGGTATTAGTGGGAATCCACTGAATACTTTATTTGCAAAAAAATTATTTTACAAATAAAAGTGAAGACACAGAAAAGAAAAATCAAGTGTAAAGTCCTCGCCCCAGAGTAACTGCTGGTTATTAGCTTGGTGTGCTACTTCTAGTACCTCTGTTATTACTTCCGTGCACATATTTCTCTCAGAGTTGAGATTGCTTTTAGGATATCTCAAGATAGCAGGCTAACACTCCCATCAATCTCCTTTCCCACACAAATCTCTCAAAAAGACCAAAAAAAGATAATTATATAGAATGAATGCACAATAGTGCTGGGAGACAAGCAGGCCAGAAATAATGAGGAATCCCTGGAAAGTAGACGCAGATCCGATGGCAATGACAACAGGAGAGGGAATCGCAGCCCAACTCAAGACTTCGCTAGTTGCGAAGGTAACTAGCTCAAGAACCGCTTCAGCACAGGGGGCCCCCACCCCACACTGTCCCCCTTCAGCTACCTTGAGCAGCAGGTAGCAGCAGCGCCTCTCCCCAGGTGAGCGCTCCCGAACTGCGTGCTAAAGAAAGGGAAGTTTTCATAAAGGCCAAGGTTTGACAAAGTTCACTGATACCATCCATTTACACAAAACCTCCCATTTAAGAAGAGGACTGCAGAGGAGCAAGGCACGCAGCTGCTGGGGACAGCTGGAGAGGTTGGCTACCCTCTCTACTGAACCGCCCATTCCTTCCTTCATGGAACACTTGGGGATTGCCCGTCACATGTGGAAACCAACATCATGAATGAGAGGGGACAAGAAAAAGAAGCCGACTGACTCTGGAGGAAATAATAGTTCAGGGAATGGAGATCATTCTCAGGAAGATTCCAGAGGATGTTGCCAGCTGTCACATAAAAGGAACAACCAGAGACAAGGATTTCTGGGTTAATTAAAAAAATGTGATTAACAAAATAAAAAATTCCAGGTGTAACAATATAAATAGACAAAATATAATTTAGGGCTAAAAAGCATAAAGCCATATATTGATCAATCCACAAAAAGAGATCAGTCATTAGTCTTAATGCACCAAATAAAAGCAAAATTCTTACAAATGTGAAGGAAAATGGGAGCGTCCAAATCATAGTGGAAGATTTTCATAAGTCTCTTTCAGAAATTGACAAATTCATCTGGGAGGCCGAGGCAGGAGGATTGCTTGAGGTCAGGAGTTCGAGATCAGCCTGAGCAAGAGCAAGACCCTGTCTCTACTCAAAATAGAAAAAATTAGCCGGGCATGGTGGCACATGCCTGTAGTCCCAGCTACTTGGGAGGCTGAGGCAGGAGG